TCATGATTACTTTTGCACCAATCTAATAGCTGGGACTACTGACACAAGTCACCAAGCCCAGCTAATTGTAAAATTTTTTGTAGTGACAGTGTCTCACTATGTTCCCCAGGCTGGTCTCGAACTCATAAGCTCAAGTGGTCCTTGAGGCTGAAATGCCCCCGCCTCCCAAGTTACTAGGATTGCAGGCATGAGCCACCACACTTGCCCCACATTCTTAAAATATCTAACGTTCCTAGAAAAATTGCTCACTAACGTTAGCACCATAAGTAAGTTACTAAAACTGCTCTCAAACTAAAGGTTTGAAAACGGACCACTCATTTGATTTGTTGCAATTCTGTGACAGTTTGCTAGGATCTTTTTAACAGGGAACTCTAGGATTTTTCAGAGTTAAAAATGTCTAGGTTTATTTGATGATTTCACAGAGATAATAAATAGTCAAAAAGATAGCAGGAAACATATCTAACTAAATAAAGGAATGAGTGTTTGGGAGAGAATGCCTGCAGGCCCAGGGGTGGGCCAGGTCCCAGCTTGCTGATTTACCAACATGCCTAAGTCCATTCCACCACAAGTAAGGGTCCTGCACTCTAGGAGTGGCCTGATGGCCCACAGGTGAGGCAACCGGTATCCTATGTGGCAGTGCTTGTCAACTGCTCATGGTCCACAGAGCTGTGGCAGTGGGCACCATACCTTGAGCTGCTTTTCCTCTTTGTTGCTTTAAGTTAAACAAGTTCTTGTTGATGGACAGTTTCCCACACTGAACCTTCAAAATGCTTCTCCTTAGAAATGTAAAGCTTGTTTTGGAAGATGGTTGCTGAAAGCCTTTGGGTATCTGAAACAATATTCATGCTAGTGTTTTACCAACAAACGCTGGCTACTGTAAAACCTGCAAAATAAGGATTACTAACATTCATTCACGTGTCTGTGTGTCAGGCCTGGAGTATGGTATTTCACCTGCATTTTCTCATTTATTATTTACAAAACAATAAAGCTCACGGTATCGTTATGTATGTTTTGCAGATGAGATGAGATAAGATCACTCTGGCTAAGAAAGGTTAATTTGCCCAATGTCATAGGGCAAGAAAGTGAACCCTGATTCAGACTTGGGCCAGCTGACCCAGGACTCTTAACTGCTATGCTAAAAAAGCCACTCGTTAGCACACACCAACATTGGTAATATCATAAAGGCAGCACAAACGTAAACTACCCAGAGATAAACAACTGAAAAAATGCAGGCGATAATATAAAATGTTCAGATTTTTATTGTGGCACATAAAAGACTTGAACAAATGGAGAGGTATACTGTGTTCCTGATGAAAGATTCAACAATGTAAAAATGATCATCTTAAATTCAACCCAGTCAGCTTAAAAATCCCTATGCACATTTCATCTGGAAGAAGAACTGTGTGCAAATAGCCAGGACAATTCTAAAAGAAGGAAAAAGTGCAATTATAAGACAGAATAAGCATGGGGAGTTCACAGGGAGCGTGCCATGCTTGATCAACAATTAAAACGGTGTATACCCAGAACCAAATTAGAAGTAACATTTCATAGCAAGTGGATTATTTAATAAATAGTCTTGGGACAGCTGACTAACATTTGAGGGGGGGATTTAGAGATCCACCTCATGCTATTTACTAAAATAGACTTCAGTTGAGTTCGTGTGTTAAAAAGAAAGAAAAAAAGCCAGAATAAATACAGGAAAATATTATATCGCTTTAAGGAGGGAACTAGTTTGAAAGCATGACACACAAGTCAGAAACCATGTTTGAAAAAGCTAGATTTAATTACATTAAAAACTCAACATTTCTGTACTTCAAAAAACACGATAGTCTGGGCATGGTGGCTCACACCTGTAATCCCAGCACTTTGGGAGGCTGAGGTAGGTGGACTGCTTGAGCCCAGGAGTTCAAGAGCAGCCTAGACAACATGGTATGACCCTGTCTCCACAAAAGTTAACCAGGTGTGGTGGCACACAACTGTGGTTCCGCTTACTGGGAAAGCGGGGGAAGGGCGTTGAGGTGGTAGGATTGCTTGAACCCAGGAGGTTGAGGCTGCAGTGAGCTGAGATCTGGCCACTACACTCCAGCCTGGGCGACATTGTGAGATTCTGTCTAAAAAGAATAATAATAATTATCCCATTTTTAATATAAGCAGAGACTATTAATAAGCAATTCAGCAAAGGAAGAAATTAAAATTACCAACTAAGCTTTGTAAAAGGTTTAGTCTTTGTAGCAATAAAAAGAAAGTCACAGTAAATAGGATATTATTTTCACCTATTAGACTTACAAAAAATGAAAATAATAATATTCAGTGTTGGAGAGGATGTGAGGAAAAGGTTATTTCCCTAAAGAGTAGTGTTGGAAGAATAGAAATTGTAAAAATTTCTAGGAAAGAGGGATAATTTGACAATGGGCTATTAAAGCTTTAAAATTGTATAACTTTGACCTAACAATTCCTTGTCTAGAGATATATGCAAAGGTAGCAATTAGAAGTTTCCAAAGATGTAACAATGTTTACAATAAATAAAAATTAAAAATTTGAAGTAGCCTAAATGTTTAACACTAAGGGATTGGCTAAAAAAAAATTCTTTGATTTAGTGAGACAATGGAATGATATATAACCACTAAAAATATATTGTATATTTATTAGCAGAGAAAGATGCTTACATGTGAATGAGAGTGAGAAAGCAGATTACAGAACAATATATAAAATATGATCCAATTTTTGTACAAAAAGGATATATATCATTATCACAGAAAAATCTCTGGGAGAGTAAATACCAAAATGTTAATGTAGTGAGATTAATGGTATTTTTGTTTTGCTTATTAGCATTTTATATTTTTTAACCAATGAATATGGACTAATTTTAATATAATTAACTTTAAAAATCACTTCTATTATAACAGCTCGACGAAGATTAATGTTGTGGACAAAAAAGGCCTTTGCCTTTGTTGTTCAGCTGTCTGTTATACTCTGCTTCAAGTGGCTGAAATTTCAAGATAAAGTCACAAAAAGTAAACATGCAATTCGGAGACCTATGTTCTGTAGAGATAGACTCCTGCATATGTGAAATATTATCTTACTACCACCCAATTTCCACTTACTACCACCCATTCCAAGAAATGAAACCTCCTTGGCCAATTGGAAGGTTATTCAGGGTGACATGAGTGAAGGGGGTTGTCACATCTACTCTTCAGATGAAACATTTCTTAATTTTCAACCACGCTTTCATTTGAAATACATTTTCACATTTTGATATAGTCTGTCTTTTTAATTTTATTTTATTTTTTGAGACAGGTGTCTCTCTTACCCAGGCTGGAGTGCAATGGCACAATCATAGCTCACTACAGCTTTCAATGCTAGGGCTCCAGCAATCCTCCCACCTCAGCCTCCTGGGTAACTGGGACTACAGGTGTGCACCACAGGCTAATTTTTAATTTTTGTAGAAATGGGGTCTCACTGTATTGCCCAGGCTGGTCTCAAACTCTTGGACTCAAGCAATCTTCCTGCCTCAGCCTCCCAAAGTGCTGGGATGACAGGTGTGAGCCACCACGCCCACCCTAGTTTTTACTTTTTTTCACTTCAATGCCTCAGATAAAATTCTGTCATTCCCCTCCTTTCCCATTGTTCTTCTGTCCTTATCATCACTTCTGCCTCTGTCTTTAAAATGAACAAATACCACACATGAACATATACATGTCTCCTGCCCTTTCGTGGATAGATCCATCCATTATCTATCTACTTTTCCACCTATTTATCTGTCTATCTATTTATCCATGTGTGTCTGAGTTGCTCTGAAGTCCTTTTAGAAACACATGGAGTTTCACTGAGCAGGAGAGCACTGAAGTAGGAGTCGGAAGAATATCATCTATTGCAGACTTTACACACCTGTGAGCTCGGGAGATACCAGATCTGTTGTTCATTATCATTCATGCACTTCCTTGGAAGCGGAGGTCACTTCAAATAGAGACCTGCTAGGATGTGAGCGAAGGGAGAACAGATCTAAAAAGAGAAGGTGGGGCCGGGCGCGGTGGCTCACGCCTGTAATCCCAGCACTCTGGGAGGCCGAGGCGGGTGGATCACGAGGTCAAGAGATCAAGACCATCCTGGTCAACATGGTGAAACCCCGTCTCTACTAAAAATACAAAAAATTAGCTGGGCATGGTGGTGCGTGCCTGTATTCCCAGCTACTTAAGAGGCTGAGGCAGGAGAATTGCCTGAACCCAGGAGGCAGAGGTTGCGGTGAGCCGAGATCGCGCCATTGCACTCCAGCCTGGGTAACAAGAGCAAAACTCCATCTCAAAAAAAAAAAAAAAAAAAAGAAGGTGGAGGAAGGGCAGTGCTGCCTGTCTTCCAGGAGACTTGGTGGAACTATGGGCCCACCAGGAAAAAGCTGTGGAGCAAGATACTTGGCAAAGACAGCCAAGTTAGAAGCAGAAGCACAAATTAGCCAACAGCGTGGTCATGTTCAAATACCGTGTTCCTCATTTATGTCTGCTCACACCCCAAGATGCCCAATGTTTGAATTCTAAATGACACTGAGAAGGCCCCTCCAGATCCTTTGTAGGTATGAACAAAATGGGCTATTGAAGACATGCCAGGACCACAAACTCTTGAGAGAAAACAGCACGTGGAAAATTTGTTTTAGAAAAAGGCAATTTGGCATGTATTCATAGAGAATGGGATTAGGTTTATTAAACAGGGAACCCCCAACTCCATCTGGTTCTCTCTGCATCGGCGCTGGATAAGGGCTATGAAGAGTGAGAACTAGGGATTATTTTTTGGCTTTCATGGATTTCTTCCTCAGGGATCAAATATAAAATTAAAACTGACCTTCATTTCAGAAATTGTAAGCTAGGCACCACTGGCTTCCTGACAGCTTGCGATCTCTTCGGTCACCTCCACAATGGAGAGACGAGCTCTCTTTAGCTTCTTAAAAATATATTACTGTTTGTGTATGTATGCGTGTGTGTTTTATGTTTTGTTTTGTTTTTTTACAGTGACAATGAATCGTAAACCTGAATGGCACTCATGTTTCCCAAGAGAAGCAGCCCCTGAGTGAGTCTGCTGGGCCTGCCAGAGGATGAAGAGGATATGAATTTAATTAATTTCAAATCAACATAGACACAAGGACCTTTTGCTGTTTCTTCCAATGCCCACTCTTCCTAATGATGGCATCACTTGTACCTGGAAGAATGTGCAGTTGAGAAGTACTAGGAGAAGGCCTGGCTGCCATCCATTGCTGCCTCCGAGGGCGGAGAAGGAGGCGGGTGATGTGCTCACTTCTGATCAATGGGTGTTGCCTCCTCTCAGCCTATTGATTCTAGCTCACTGCTCTCACTCTGGTCAGGCTAAGTCTTCTTCTAGCTCACTGTTCGCACTCTGGTCGTGCTAAGTCTTCATCACCTTTCTGCTTCATTCCTAGGGTCTAAATCAGGAAGCTGTTTTATCAATGGTTTCCTTTTGGGTCACTAACCAGCTTTGGATAATTTCCTCTGATTAGTCAAGTCCTCAGACAGGTTAACTACATTCAGCAGGAACTTTTCTTAAGGAGTGTTAAGTCATGGAAAAGTCACCAAACACAGCAAGTGTTTTGATGGATACACCATTAAGTCAGTAAGTCAGTAAGCTCTGCCTGCCAAGAAGACACAGTGAGATGGTCCACAGTCCTGATGAGATGGCGTTTGGTAACTTGTAGATGCTGACATGGCCAGGTCCGGTCACATTTGGGAACTTCTCAGAGAAACTAGGAATCTTCAGTGAAAGAACTAATGTTCTCCTCAGCTGAAATTCCCTTGCTTGTCAGCATTTCTGCAAAGCTCACACTTGTTTCACCACACCTCCCTTGTATGTGCAGGTGGGGGTCATCTGTCAGCCTCTATGTTTCAGAGATCCTTAAGGTGGTTTGAAACAAACAGAAGAGGAGCAGGAAATATCTGTGCCTGTGGTGGACATCACTCATCATGCTTAGCATTCTCTCCTGCCAAGCTGGGACAAGCCTCGTGTCCTAACACAGCACTCCAGGAGGTCTCTATCAGTCCATCAGAGATGACATTCTCTGTGATATTTTTAACATCCTTGTGCTAAAAGCAATGGCACAAAATGGAAAAGGGTCCATTGACCACACCTACTCAAATGAAATCGATCTGCATTTATTCCTTAATTTTCTAAATCTGACTTTAAAGCAATCTAGCAAATTGAGAGTCCTCAGCTGTTCTTGGATGCCTGATATTTTATTCCAAGAAAGAGACAAAGAAGGAAAAATCTATATATTTTACTACCTACATTTGAACTGAGGGGAGATGGGGTTACCCAAACATTTGCTGCTCAATCTTGTGTCTTGTGCTTGAAAGTCTGCCCCAAGGCATAACAAAAGCTACTCCTTTTCTTTCTTTTAGGATCCCTTTAACAAGTATTTGCCTTCTGAACTACATGGATAATTTCAAAGGCAGAGTTTCAGACCAGAGAGATCTTTCCATACCATGAAAGCTATAACCAGCGGTTGTGTTTAACCACTGCTATCACGCTATCCTGGGACTGCATAGAGCTTTGACAAAAGACAGACTTCACGGTCCATAACTTCAACAGATTTGTCTGTCATATTCTCACCAGCACATCTGAATGAGGCTTTGTGTTTTCCTTGCTCTCTTGCACGTTCATTTTCAACTCATGGCCCACAGAGAGTCTCAGATATTTATGCCAAAATTGCATACAATTTTTTTCTGAATCATAACTTGTCTATTTTTCTGCCTGTGTGTGCTGCTTTTGGTTCGTTTCTCGTCAACATTTTGACTCCCAGGAGAGCCTCCGTTTCCTTCTTTTTCTCTTTAGGTATCTAAAATCTTTGAACACTTGGCCCTCTACATTTGATCCAACTCTATCAAATAATGAACTTTTGGAAGTTCAGAGAAGCATCTGGGGTCCTAGAATCTCATGTTGATGAAGCCATTTTTATATGATAAATATTTTCTCATTCAGTATTTTAAATAATTTCAAATTCTAGAAGAAGAAAATTTCAGCAACACATCGAGTTTTTACCTGATAAAGCTATAATTATACAGTGTACAAAGCACTTTTTAAAAATATAGTTTATTCTGTCAAGGTATATGAGGTAGTATATGGCCAGAACAGTCAAGCCTCAATTCTTGTACCTTGTGCCTTTTTATTACTGTTCAATCAATAGACACCATATGTTTACGGCAATTTCAAGAATTGTTTTTAAACCCAAACTTAATTTTATGTTTCAGACTATTGTTAGTATAAAACAAAAGCTCACTAACTTGCCCTAACTGGATAGCCAATCAGAACAAAATCTGACTTTAGAATATGTAAAATATATGTAAGTTTGATTGCATTTTTGTACATTTTAGGCAAAGTAGGTTAACAACATTGCCTGGTCAAACTTCTCAGGAAACTTGTTTTAATAAATATGTAAAAATATCCATTTGCAACTCTTGACCCAATGGTGTGATTCCTCCCTCTGGGAAGGGCTTTGTTACCTAATGGGAGGCCACAGCCTGGATCCACCTTGATGTAGGTGGCACCTGGATAACCAAGTGTGATGAAGATGAGTCAAACTGGTCTTCGGAAAATAATTTCATAATTTTTTTTTCCTCCCAGTTATGCTATCTAATACAGGAGAATCAAAAGTTGTAAAATTATTCTATTTTTTAGAGACAGGGTCTCACTATGTTGCCCAGGCCAGTTTCAAACTCCTGGGCTCAAGCAATCCTCCTGTGTCAGCCTCCCAAAGTGCTGGGATTACAGGCATGAGCCACTGAGCCCAGCCAGGTATAAAATTATTATATTCGTTATTACTATGTGCTATTTCTCACCCTGACTTCTTTTTGTTTTTTTTGAGACAGAGTCTCACTCTGCCACCCAAGCTGGAGTACAGTGTCACGATCTCCGCTCTCTGCAAATCGCGCCTCCTGGATTCAAGCAATTCTCCTACCTCAGCCTCACAAGTAGCTGAGATTACAGGCCTGTACTACTATGCCCAGCTAATTTTTGTATTTTTAGTAGAGACAGGGTTTCATTATGTTGGCCAGGCTGGTCTCAAACTCCTGACCTCAAGTGATCTGCTGGCCTTGGCCTCCCAAAGCTCTGGGATTATAGGCGTGAGCCACTGCACCCGGCTGCACCCTGACTTTCATTGTAATCTCTGGGTGGTTTATGTAACACACCTGGGCAATAGGGTTTATGGCAGAATTGGCCCTTGTGGTGCAGGCCTTCCAAGTTCCAAGTCTTATTTTTAGTAAGTCTTCCTTTGTTCCAAGCCCTGGATCCACCAAGTCCAACAACCTGGGTCCACCTTGTTATTGACAGAGAGGCAGATGCTTCTGCTGATCACCACAGCTTTAACAATGGAAATGAATGTGTTCAAAAAAAAACTTGTCTGTTCTTTTATTTTGGTTGTTTAAACTATTAATTCACATCATCTCTGAAAAAAGGCCTTATGTTGACTAAATAAAATGTAGGCTTTAGTTTCAGCTTCTGTCAGAATTAGTACCAGTTCTGAGTCTGGTGGAGTGATAAGACATGGTTTCATATTGGGAAGACACTGCTGAAATTCTCTTTGTGGGAGAACAAGGAAATTTTATACTGAATTAAATTAGTACATGTGACTTTTTCACATTCAGAGATATTCGGGATGAATTCTGGGGTTTCCATTTAACAGCTATAACAGGCAGTCTAGAACAACTTCACATATAGAAGCATTTCTGCTATGTGACAATGACCAGAAGAGTTCCTGTATATTAGTGTAGAGCGGAATCTGTCAAACCGCAGAAGCCAGACAGCCAATTGCCTGAATTATTATTTTTTGTTTTCAGCAACTCTTTGACCTTACCTTGATATTGTCTTGTCTGGCAGCAAAGTTTTATTTTCCTTTTAGTCCTCTTAGGGATTGTTTTGTTTTGTTTTTTATTTAAATTTTAATTTTTTTTGAGACAGGGTCTCACTCTGATGCCCACGCTGGAGTGCAGTGGTGTGATTACGGCTCACTGCAGCCTCAACTTCCCAGGCTCAGGTGATTCTCCCACCTCAGCCTCCCAAGGAGCTGGAACTACTGGCACGCACCACCATGACTGGCTAACTTCTTGTATCTTTTGTACAGATAACAAACATGGAGTTTCACCATGTTGCCCAGGCTGGTCTTGAACTTCTAGGCTCAAGCAATCCTCCCACCTTGGCCTCCAAAAGTGCTGGGATTACAGGCGTGAGCCACCACAACCGGCTGGGATTATTTGTACCTAGACCTGGTATTTTGTTTGTTTTGTTTATGCCCTACCACCTTTTCTAAATATCATGTTCCTGAGATACCAGTTCATACAATTATGTCAAATAGGGCTTTATGTGAACTCTGTACATGTGCTAAGCACTTTTTGAATGATATTTAAGAGGTTCCTAAACCAGGTACTTAAGATGACATGAAGACGTTAATTTCATGAAAACTGTACAAGATTACAAGTACAATGTAGTCCTGTTTAAGACAAACAAAGGTGAATAGGCTTTGGGCTTTTTTTACAATGAGACTTCAGGTACAGAAGGCTCGGGTAATGGCACTCCTCAGTTCACCTCACATTATCAGTAGCCTTTAGTATTTTGTAAATAAGTAACTGGACTTTTATGAAAAGCATATTCTTAACCATTTCTCTCTCTCTCTTTTTTTTTTTAAGATGGGGTCTCACTCTGTTGCCCTGGCTGGAGTGCAGTGGTTCGATCTTGGCTTACTGCAACCTCGACCTCCCAGGCTCAGGCGATCCTCCAGGCTTGGCTTCCTGAGTAGCTGGGATTATAGGCATGCACCACTGCATGCACAGCTAATTTTTATATTTTTAGTAGAGACGGGGTTTCGCCATGTTGGCCAAGCTAGTCTCAAACTCGTGGGCTCAAGTGATCTGCTCACCTCAACCTCCCAACATGTTGGGATTACAGGCATAAGCTACCGTGCCCAGCCAGTTTTCATTTCTTTGGTCTGCATGAAAGGACTAAAGGAATGGTATGTAGCTACTACATTGCAGCAAACAACATTTTTCCAGTGTAAAAACCAGTGGAAAGTAAGCATTTTATTACTCTGACTTAGATGAAACTGCTGAAATTATAAATAGTGCCAGGAACATGTGAAAACTCCACATGTTTAATAAATGCCAACTTTCAGAAAGAGCAGGGATTAAAGGTATTCAACAAGTTAAAAAATAAACTGGTAGATCAGTAATAATTTAACACATGTGTATCTTATATTTAAAGTTAACTGAAAATTATTTTTTGAAAAAAAACCACCGTGTTTGACTCCCTTTTGTTTTACAAGGGATGCAAAGTATCTAGGACTTCAGTTAGATCATCAGATGTCATATTTACCACTTAGCTTTTGTCCCAGCAGCGTTAAATTCTACCTTGTAAGCCTCATATAAGAAATGGTCCCAGCCAGGCATGGTGGCTCACGCCTGTAATCCCAACACGTTGGGAGGGCAGGAGTTTGAGACCATCCTAGCCAACATAGTGAAACCCACCTCTAAAAAATGTGAAAATTTGCCAGGTGTGGTTACACCAATAATCCCAACTACACAGGGGGCTGAGGCACAAGAATCACTTGAACCCAGGAGGCGGTGGTTGCAGTGAGCTGAGATTGCCGTGAACTGAGATTGCGCCACTGCACAATCGGCGGCAGAGCAAGACTCTGTCTCAAAAAAATAAATAAATAAATAAAAGAAAAGAAATGGTCCCATTGCTACTGATTAGAACTAATTTGTAAATTTATCAGAATGTTAAGACTGATTAAAGGCTTTAGGTGTTTTTCTCCTACTTTGAATACTGAGAATGATATGTATAATATTTTTCCAATATGATTTAGAATTTTGTAAATGTCAGTATACATGTATGTATATGTATAAATTATTCTCAACTCCATGTTTTTTAAATAAGTACATGTTTGTGTGCTAAATTGCTCATTTAGCAGTGATAGATTGAAAAACATAAATTTAATTAAAAATTAAGCACTATAAGGTATGAGGAATGAATATCCTTCTACATGAATTTCTATGTAAGGAATATCGATATTTAGAATAAAAGGGTAAGGTATTTGTTTGCTAAAATCTTTTATTCACTACGAGTACAGAGGTGAATTATGCCTCTTTCTAAGGAAAGTTCTTTTAATTTCTGTGTCTATGAAAAAGATTTTTTACCTTTATAATTGCACTCTTTTGATCCATACAATTATTTAAATAAATGAGACAATACCAATTCAAAAAGTTCTTAAAGAATGGGACGTGCTTTGTAAATTTAAAATATATTATTACATTCTGCATATCTAAAATATATTATTACATGATTTTGTCTTTATTCTTCCTTACAAAACATTTTCAAATGAAGGAATGAGATGTTTATGGGAACATAACTTTTAAAAATATTTTTAGTGGGCTGGGAGTGGTGGCCGACATCTATAATCCCAGTACTTTGGGAGGCCAACGTGGGTGGATCACCTGAGGTCAGGATTTCGAGACCAGTCAGATCAATATGGTGAAATCCTGTCTCTACTTAAAATATGAAACTTAGCTGGGCATGGTGATAGGCACTTGTAATCCCAGCTACTCAGGAGGCTGAGGCATGAGAATCACTTGAACCTGGGAGGTAGAGGCTGCAGTGCCGCCAAAAATTCCGCCACTGCACTCCAGGCTGGGTGACAGGGCGAAACTCCATCTCAAAAAAAAAAAAAAAAAAAAATTCTAGTAAAAATGGAAAAATCCACAAAGAGAAAATCTCTTTTTTCCTGATTATGCACTTTTCTTCATGCTTTTAATTTTAGCAAGGCTGAACGGCAGACTCATAAGATTTAGATAACATGAAGACTTCCTTGAATAAGGATTTATTCTTTCAGCTCACAACAACCAGTCAGTACTGTCGACAAACAACAAGCAGGAAGATTTCTCCTAAAAGTCTCAACTAAAGTTAAACCTGGTCAATGAGGACATCAATCTACCCCTAGAAACTGATGCAGAGTATATTTCTTCCCTGTTTTCACTAGAACTTAGCCAGGCTGGAGATAGCATGGACCAAAAGAGCACGCAGTCCCACAGAGTGAGGGAAAGGATGCTAGGAGAGATTGATCATCTCGATTAGCATTTAGCATGTGGATCAGTTAGGAATTAAGTTTCTAATTCAAGGTAAGCTGGTATGGCTGCTCCCTGGTCATCTAGGACACGAGTTCCTTCTAACTCTTCCCCACCTTCGTTAGTACAGAGCTGCTTTCCTGTGTTGCTACATAATCCAAAATGGTGGTTGTAACTCCAGCATGATATTCACAAGAAGGAAAGAGAGGAAACCAGCACAAGGGTGAGCCTCCTAAGTAGGTCAGCCACTTTTAAAGAGCTTCCTGCTAGCCCAGTGAAGCAACTCTGCTTACATCTCATTGGCCAGTCTCTCTGCAAGGCAGCAGGAAATAGTCGTCTCTATGGTTGGTTCATTATCACTTCCAACAATAAGGGATTCTGTCTCACAAAGTGGTGGAAGAATATTGGGTATCTGAAGAGTAGCCACCCTGGCCAGAGGGTGCTAAACACCAAACAGATATCATCTCATTTTAATCCTAATCATATACTTACAAGGTAGGTTTACAGAACATATACCTTGTTCCATGTCTCCCCAACTTCAAAGCACAAGTTTTAATCACTGGACTGCACTGCCTCCCCAATAATTAGCCATAGGAAAGTGTTTTAAAAAGCATCAGTTGGCAGGGCATGGTGGATCATGCCTGTAATCCCAGCACATTGGGAGGCCAAGGCGGGCAAATCACCTGAGGTCAGGAGTTCGAGACCAGCCTGGCCAACATGGTGAAAGCCTGTCTCTATTGAAAATACAAAAATTAGCTGGGCATAGTGGCATGCACCTGTAATCCCAGCTACTCAGGAAGCTGAAGCAGGAGAGTCACTTGAACCTGAGAGGCGGAGGTTGCAGTGAGCCGAGATTGCTCCATTGCACTCCCGCCTGGGCAACAAGAGTGAAACTTCGTCTAAAAAAAAAAAAAAAAAAAAAGCATCAGTCATTGTCAAGGATGCCTGAAGTTGAGCATAGCCTGAGATAAGAAGTAACAGAGGCTGCAGGCTGAGATAAGAAGGAACAGAGTCGGTGAAGGCAGAACCCTAGGCCCAGAAACAGTGTGTATCATGCTGAGAAAAAAGCCAAGGCTTTGAATGGGGTAATAAGTAAAAAGCCTAGTTTTGAAATCTAAGTACTGGTAAGGGTTTGGTCACCAGGTGAAAAAATAAAATTCCCACTTACAAGAGCTGAGCTGACATAAACAGAATATGATCCTCTTTCAGGTTGCAGTGGAGAGGCATGCCCAGGGACTCTCAAGTTAGCGACAGGTGTGTTTAGTGCTAGAATTTGAAAGACAT